ATTAAATGCATAAAAATAATTTTGTTTTGTTCTTAGTTATTTCTTTTAAATGTGGATCTACTTTTTAACGAAAATGTCCTTTATATACATGTATCTTGTTTTTTCACGATGTTCTGTAATATTTTATTGATTTTCACTCCATGTTGTACCGCCTATCGAGATCAGTGTTGATGTAATTGGTGTTAAATAATAAATATTATTATTATTATCAAACTTTTTTACACTGTTATAAAACATGGAGGGGGGGGGGCACGATGGCTAAGTGACTAAGACCCTGGCCCTCTAGCCCAGAAATGAAATGAAATGTGGTTTTATGGCACGTCAGCTCCAACCGGGCTATATTGCGCCAAACATATGCGCTAGCCCGGAGATCGCTGGCTCGATCTCAGTGTTGGTCGAGAATGTTCATCAAGATTTTCTGGCGTGGTTTTCCCCTTCTCAGTGGTGCAGGATCGAGGACCTGACAAGGACAGCTGTCTAGTAATTCGGATGGGACTGGGACAAAAAATGAGGTCAGGTATACACTTTAACATACACGTAAAAGATCCCTTGGCAAAATTTCCCTCATAGCACACTGTATGGAGTATGCCCGTCTTCATTAGCCCAGTTGGAGCAGAACAGGTGTTAAACCCCATTTGATTCTATAAAACATGGCAACAGAGAGATATGGAATAATTCTCTCATGTGTTCAGTGTATCGTGTTACCTGACAATATCAGCTGATATATATATCCAGGTGTCAATGTCATCACTAGGCGTTGGCTGATGAGAAAACCAGGTAAAAACCTTTGATCTTTAGTTAAAGGGATAGATACCGGTAATACTATTGATATCTCTTTTATGTGGATGGTTAATTCTGCTTATTATTATTTCATGGGACTAACATATGGTTTATTTATTTCAATAACTTGCTAGTGTGTAGGGGTCTTTAGCTGGTTTTTTTTATGGTTAACACGTGTGCTTTCCATCATAAGGTTTGTCATCGAGTCAAGTGGCATGGTTTTGATTCGTGACAAGGAGGAATAGTGTCGCCTGTCCAACCTCGTGGGTTTTACTCTGGGTCCTCCAATTTCCTCCTACTACTAAAGACCCCTATGCACAAGCGATTGATTGGAAAAAAATTAAATCTCTCTATCTCTCTCTCTCATTTATTGCTTGCATGTCGGGGTCTGTAGCAGGGGATGGAAACCAGACATCCCTTCTCACATACAAGCTGGGAATCAAAACCATGTCACTTGAACCAGTGACAGACCTTATGGTTCAAAGCGCACCCACCCATCCCCCATATGTTACATCAAGACTGAGTATCAATTTCAAGTCAATCAGATGATAACTTTCACCTCCAGAGTTTCTACAGAATATTTTTCAGTGTTCAAAGGGCAACAACTCTAATAGTAATAACAGGAATTCACTGAAAATCTATAGAATTCTCATTTCATGACAAGAGTGAGGAATGCGATTTAACATCCACCCAACAAAGACAAGGTCATTTTGGGACTAATATATGGTTCAATTTTATTGCACTAGGGGGTCTTAAACCATGGGAGAAAACCAGAAGACCCAGAGAAAACCCACATGGTGAGGTAGGCCCCCTTACTCCTTGTCACATACAAGCGAGGAATCAAAACCACGGCACTTGAATCTATGACAAACAAGTAAACCACTCAACAACCCTACACAAAAACAAAAACTGGTAAGCTGATACCATTGACTAATGAGTAATGACAATTATTGTCATTAAATCATATAAGTGGTCATTATTATAAAGTTATCAACTAGTATGTGTATAGAAACTGCTTAGAAATTATACAGTAGTCATTAATTAGCAGGTGTGTAACTAGCTGTAAAAGCGTGACTATTTATAACACCCATCATCACCATTGAATACACAAACCTGGGGCCTGTTTCACGAAATTTTAACTAAGATAAAATCCAAATTTTAGTAATTTGATTGGATAATATTAGATTGATTTTAGTGCTTAGCCAATAAAAATTGAAGTATCTACTAAAATTGGATTTTATCTTTAGTTAAAATTTCAAGAAACAGGGCCCTGGAAAATAGTGGTGTATATATCATTCAATAGTCACAGTTTTAACATATAGTGACATAACACCTACTTAATGACTACTGCCTGATTACTAACAATTTTAAATAACTAATACAAATTATGTATATAAACTGATGACTTGGATCTATTTGTGTCCTTTATAAAAGTTATTTGTGGGTTAGTCTACGAACCAAAGACAGACGGACCAATCTGATTAAAATACAGATCCTATTTCGTTTCGTTTTTTATAGTTCAAAATGTCGTTTTACATGTCTTTATTTACTACACTAGGATCTGGATGATGTGAGGGTGAGAGATTAGCCAATGAAACAGTCTGTTACGGCAGGGTTTTGGCGTGAGGTGCAGGGAACTGTGGGTAATCGTTAATTGGTTAATTAAATGTCTGAGATCATAGAGTAAAAAAAACCCTTGTATAACCTCTGATGCAACCTTGCACTACAACCGTCAGATCTTCATGTATAGTGTAGGCCATCGAAAGTATAAAAAAACAAACCGAATATAGATCTGTATTTTAATCAGATTGCAGACGGAGAGAAAGAGAGAAATGTTTTTAACGTCCACTCGACACAAACTAGGTCATTCCGGGACTAACATATTGTTCAATTTTATTTCAATAATTTGCTTGCGTGTAGGGGTCTTTAGCAAGGGGAGGAAACCGGAGGACCCGGAGAAAACCCAAGAGATTGGACAGGCGACCCAACTCCTTGTCACTTACAACTGGGGAATCGTAACTATGCCAGCTGACTCAATGACAGACCTTATGATACAGTACGCACGCATTAACTATTCAGCCATCTAACCCCCCAGATTGCAGACGGACGATGGGAATGACAAAATAAGATCAATATCGTCGGTGAAGTGTCAAAAGGGTGTATCTAAGAATTTCTAAAAATTAAGAAATAGAACCTTTCCAGAAATCAAGATACAACATTTAGACACATGATACCCATAACAGTTCTAATTGGCGTAGAGATACACAGCTTAGACAGAAATGTGCATATTTATTTAACTAATTTCCCGAGATACACCGTATTGACACTTCACTGACGATATAAAAACTATAAAAAAAAGATAACATACCTGTTACTACTGTTTCTGTTTAACTGGTCACGGAAACTTCACCATCAATTATACACAAGTACAAACTCCTGGGCGATATTTCATAGAGCTGGGCGATATTTTGGATTTTTGATATAAAACCATCACAGAAATAAAAACCGTCAAAAATACCATCTTCAGAAAAATATCAAAAAAACGAACAAACCGCGATATACAGAGACTTCATCATCAAATATACACAGATACATACGTACAAAACTTATTGTCTGAATCTTGTGATCAGGTATCACAGTAAGAAACAGAATTTACCTGATCATAAAAATAACGTAAAACATGTATCTTAAGCCACGTTTACATTACAAATTTTAAGCGTGCCAGGCTTTGCGCGGTTACTTTTTTGTAGTGTAAACCGGTCAAACATAAGCGTGCCGTACTGAGTACCATGCCAATTTGGCCCACTGAAGTGGGGTGGTCTCGGCATGGTGGCAGGCACGGCACGGTTAAATTTTCGTAGTGTAAATGCTATCCGGTCTGAGAATGGTTCTCAGTACGGATTACTATGTATGCACCAAATGAACCTTGACCTTTTTCACGCAAACTTAGCCCAAGCTAAATCAACCGAAATAATTGTTTTCATCCGGGTAATTTGACACAGTTCCGAAACTGGTTATTTTAGAGTAATGTAAACAGGTCAATTTCTTAAAATAAATCACGGCCGGCTGATCGCGGACAAGTGTAAACAGGGCTTTAATGTTTGAAAGTATGTGATATTCGTTAAAGATATTCTCATCAGATTACTTTCAGTAGAAAATTAAAATCAGCCATCTATTTGTTGTTAATTATCTCTAGTACTGTATGTAGTTAAGGTCTTTGACTTTTGAATCCATTTCGTGTTCAATGACCTTGTTAACCCTTTGTTCTAGTCATGGGCCTTTTGTATGGTGATTGACCTTTTAATCCTTTGTAAGGCTGTTTACCTTTTAACTCTTTGTATGACAGCTGACCTTTTAATCCCATGTTATAGCCATTGACCTTTTAACACATTGTCCTTTTAGGGGATCACGTGGCTAAGTGGGTAAGACGCTGGCTCGCTAGCCTGGAGGTCGCATGTTCCATCCCTGCATTGGCCGAGAAAGTTCATCCATATTTTCCGGCATAGTTTCCCTTTGTCAGTGATGCAGGACGGAGGGCCTGACAAGGACAGCCGTCTAGTCGTTCGGATGGGACGTTAACCGAGGTCCCGTGTACATATCGTCGTGCATGTAAAAGATCCCTTGGCAGTTGGAATTCGATATAAGAGTAGGCCGTAGCGCCGTAGCGCCGTTGCCCAGGCAAAATTTCCATATCAGCACACTGTATGGTGTATGCCCGTCTTCATTAGCCCAGGTTAGGAGCAGAACAGTAGGACGTTAAACCCCATTTCATTTCATTTTATTTCATTTACATTGTCCTTTTAACCCTTTGATACAGTCATTGACCTTTTAGCCATTTGTTATAGTCATTGACTTTTTAACCCTTTGTTAGGGTCATTGACCCCTTTTCATGGCTTTTTTACCCTTCCAGATCTAGATGATAAAACTTTCTCGGCCAATGCAGGGATTGACCCCGCAACCTCCAGCCTTTCGAGCCAGCGTCTTTATCCACTTAGCCACCGTTGCTCCCTTTCTAGCAATATCCTCTACATGTTTACTGACCAATGATAGGAGGTTAGTATGAATGAATGAAATGTGGTTTTAATATTTTATGGCACGTCAGCTCCAACCGGGCTATATTGCGCCATGAGGTTAGTAAAGTAGCCTATTAGACAAATAAACTTATTATATGCATCCATCATATGTTATTATATTATTTGATTGAATCAACAAGAACTTACCTGGATTTAACTGGTGATTTTTCACTGTTCTTTAAATTGCTACCTGTGGGTATACCTGTAGGTGTACCTGTAGGTGGATTTCTACCATATATAGATAACATGGTTCTAGGTGGTATAGATTCTACTGTAAATATCAAACAGATAAAACAATAGACTATTATAACATAGTACATACATATTGTACAGTTTGTCTCATCTGTTAATCATACAAACATCTGTACCATAGTTGGGGAGATAATTGTCTGATGGAACATGGGGGGGGGGATATTCTGATGGAACAAGGGGGGGGGGAGACAAATATTCTGGTGGAAAAAGGGTTGGGGGGGAATATTCTAGTGAAACAAAGGGGGGGGGGCAAATATTCTGATGGAACAAGGGGGGGGGGGCAAATATTCTGGTGGAAAAAGGGTGGGGGGGGAGAAATATTCTGGTGAGACAAAGGTGGGGGGGAGCAAATATTCTGGTGGTACAAGGGGGGGGGGCAAATATTCTGGGGGGACAAATATTCTGGTGAAACAAAGGGGGGAGGGGGCATTATTTTGGAGGAACAAAGGGGAGGCCATTATTTTGGAGGAACAAAGGAGAGGTCATTTTAGGAACAAAGAGGAGGCCATTATTCTGGAGGAACAAGGGAGAGGTCATTATTCTGGTGAAATATCCGTGGGGGGGGGGGGGGGGGGCTAACATTATGGATGAACAGGAATAAGTCATACACATATAATATATAAATGTATATAAACTGATTTATATTTAATCGTTTCTGTTTTTACTGTAATTTCAAATCAGTTATGTTTGGCGAAATACGAGATGAGTCCAAATTGAATGGCAGTCTGGTTATTCCAGTCTACACAGGTATTATTCCCCTTTGGTATATGTTTAGCCTCGTTCATCAAGATTGTTCTTTACAATTGGAACTTGACAACCCACTCTCACAAACCGTAATATAAACATTATAAAAATAATTCAAGATTTAAAACAAAATATTCCAACAGTGTACCTTTAGATTTTAATGATGATTTTTGTGGAGTAATATTATTAGTTCCTTCAACTAAAATACAAAAAACATACCAAAATAATTAGCTAAAGACTTGAAAACTATTAAACTCATTATCAATTCTAAATTCAAAATGGATGTTGTTTTTTTTATCAAATTACTTAATATAAATAATACATTACATATGCAGTAAGCGATTCATTTAATATGAATAAATTACTAATAAACAGAGAGTGAGAGAGAGACACAGAGTTTATGTCCACTCAACACAATCTAACGGTAGGTCATTTAGGGGCTAACATATGGTTCAGTTTTATTTCAATAATTCGCTTGCCCGTAGGGGTCTTTAGCAGTGGGAGGAAACCGGAGAACCCGGAGAAAACCCACAAGGTTGGACAGGCAACCCTACTCCTTGTCATGTACAACCGGGGAAGCAAAATCACGCCAGTTGACTCAATGACAGACCTTATGATGAAACCATTCGGCCATCCAACTTATAAATAATAAGTTTTATAGTACATATTGTAGTTAGTCAATGTATACTATATATTCCATAGCTATTTCAATTTGTGGCTATTAATTAAATAATTCTTTTATTTTGTTTTATAAATTATTGTAAATAATTAGTTTCATAAAAAGATTAAACTATTCAGTTATTGTAGTTTTATACACAAATATATATAAGCTATATATATACAAAACAGTGACTGCCAGGCAGGATACACACACGTTTTGCAAGAGAAGGATAGAGAACAAGCTACAAACAAACATGATTTTTTGTACAATCAGGGGCAATAATCCAGAAAGTTACGGTCTGAAATGTGCAAAATATCAAAAGGGACAGAGATCTTTGGGATATAAAGACATGTTTCAAGTTTCATTAAAATCGGATAAAAATTGTGGCCTCTAGAGGGTCCACAACCTTCATATAGCATACCAATCTGTTTCACAGAGAATTACGAGTCTCGTATAATATCTTTGTCATAGATGACTGCCTTAACACGTGCTGTCACAGCACGCGGTGTGAATCATTGGCTGAATGGCGCGTGCATTGTTTACATAAGACATAACTGCTTCGGAGAGAATGCTGCATTTTAGTCAATTTAATACCCATTTACACTAAATCGGAAATAATTTTTAACTACAAATACGTCAAACGCCTTTATTTATTTTTCCAAAATATACAAAAAATGTTTTAGAATTTAATTTGTCGCAGGAAAAAAGTTAATATTTCTAGCTCATTAAGCCGCATCAATGTCATCCTTATCAGTGATTGTCGCGGCCAAGCAAATATTCACTGCGGATCAGTGTGATAGCATACTTTTACACAATTTGCGTACAAAGAGCGACCATTTTGTCAGGCAGATTCATTTCAATCTTCCCGAAATGCGAATTCAACCTTCATCATGGTATAATGGTGATATATTTAAACGGTTTTTAAAATCGGAAAAAAAAAAATTTGTGCAAGCTAAAAATGCGAATTTTCTAACAATCAGGAGCCATAATCCGGGAAGTTATGTTCGGATATGAGCGATTATCAAAAGGAACCAAGATCTTAGTGTGTAATGGTGATACTGTATATTCACATGTTGTTTTTTTTAAATCGGATAAAAATTGTGACCTCTAGAGGGACCACAAGATCGTACAATCAAGGGCCATAATTCGGGAAGTTGCGATCCGATATGCAAGAATATCGAAAGGAAATGAGATCTTTGGGTTATAAACTTACATTTCAAGTTTCAACAAAATCGGATAAAAATTGTGACCTCTATAGGGTCCACAAGTGAAAAACACAATTTTTTGTACAACCAGGAGCCATAATCCATGAAGTTACGGTCCGATACATGCCAATATCGAAAGGAACCGAGATCTTATGAAGATAAACCTATATTTTAAGTTTCATTGAAATCGGATAAAAATTGTGACCTGTAGACTGTTCACAAACAACAAACAAATTGTGGACGGACGTCCGGACGAACGGACAAACAGGGGCGACGGCAATATACGTCCACATGAAAATGTGAGTGTATAACAAAAACACATACTATAGCTTGAAAACGTTGAGAGAATACTCCACAATATACTTGTAGCTTATTCTTTAAGTGTCATTTAGTAACTGGGTAGATAGGCTAAACTATAAACATACTTATAGAAAAACAGCTACTCATTTATTTAGGCAATGTTTCGAAGAGTATTGGAAGAGTGTTGTAGTTTTGTCTATATATGCTGCTTAACAATTTGTTTTATTGTATTAGCTTGATAATGTTGAGAGAATACTCTTCGAAACGTTGCCTAAATAAATCAGTAGCTGTTTTTTTTTCTCAATAAATATGTGTTATAGTTTATTTACACTAGTAACTGTTTTCCATGAGTATGAAATGAAATAAAATGAAATGGGGTTTAATGTCCTACTGTTCTGCTCTTATGCAGTGCTAATGAAGACGGGCATACGCCATACAGTGTGCTATGAAGGAAATTTTGCCCGGGCAGCGGCACTATCGCCTACTCTTATATCGAATTCCAACTGCCAAGGGATCTTTTACGTGCATTCCAATGTATACACAGGACCTCGTTTTTTCGTTTCATCCGAAGGACTAGACATCTGTCCTTGTCAGGCCCTCCGTCCTGCATCACTGACAAGGGGGAACCATGCGGGAAAATCTGGATGAACTTTCTCGGCCAATGCAGGGATCGAACACCCGACCTCCAGGCCCATGAGTATGAGATATAGTATATACACTAGTAGTTGTTTTCCATGAGTATGAGATATAGTGTATATCCACTAGTGACTGTTTTCCATGAGTATGAGATATAGTATATACACTAGTAACTGTTTTCCATGAGTATGAGATATAGTCTATACACTAGTAACTGTTTTCCATGAGTATGAGATATAGTCTATATCCACTAGTAACTGTTTTCCATGAGTATGAGATATAGTGTATATACACTAGTAGCTGCAGCTGTTTTCCATGAGTTTTTGTTGTTACTCTATCCAGTTACTAAATGTCATTTAAAGATTAATATCGTCAAGTAATTATATATAGCACATATACACTGGTACAAAGAATAATAATATGAAGTAATAATATTGTATGTTACTAATAAAACTAAGAACTATATTCCCTGTTATCTAATAAATCATTAGATATAAATGTTAAAAAAGAACAAAAAAGAAAACGTACAAGATATGGTCTTCAAAGATGATTTTGGTAAAGATTCTGAAAGTGATTTTTCTTTGAAGTCAAACGTAGTTGTCTTCCCATCCATAGATTCACTACAAGACCCATCTTTAACTAACAGTTCAGCGAATTTACTCTCAAAATCTTCGGTTTGAATAGATTCTAGGTCACTACAATAGCCATTTTGTTTAGGAAGAGATGATGTTAGTTTAGAAGGTGAAAAACTAGTGGATGTGTTTGGTATTAAACTATCTACAAAAATAAAATTAAAAAAATTATTAAATTAAAACTATAGGTGTTTAATAAGTCAATTATTATTAGTTATAAGAAATGAAATCGTATTTAACATCCTACTGTTCAGCACAAACTAAGCATGCACCATGTGGTATGCTATGAGAGAGAGAGAGAGAGAGAGAGAAAGAGAGAGAGAGAGAGTGTAACATCCACTCGACACAAACTAGGTCATTTCGGGACTAACACGTGGTTCAATTTTATTTCAATAATTCTCTGGCGTGTAGGGGTCTTTAGCAGCAAGAGGAAACCAGAGAACCCATAGGGCAGGCAACCCTACTCCTTATCACGTACAATCAGGGAATCAACACCACGCCCCACTGGACTCATGCAATGACAGACCTTATGATACAGCGCGCATGTGCTAACCATTCGGCCATCCAACGCCCCATTTGAAAACACATCACATGGCTTGAGTTGCTCGGGGATAAAATAGAGGTTGTTAAGGTCTTTTCATTCAAAATTAAGCTGTTTTATTCTCTAAAATAGATCCTTTAACTTTATATGCCACACTTGACTGCCATTTTATGCAATTTACCTACACTCAATTTTCATCCACTCAATTATCATTCACTCAATTTACCCACACTCAATTATCATTACCCACACTCAATTTGCATCCACTCAATTTACCTACACTCAAGTTTCATCCACTCAATTTACCTACATTCAATTTACCCACACTCAATTTACCTACGCTCAATTTACCTACGCTCAATTTTCATCCACTCAATCGACTTTTTTCTCTCTTTACTTTTATTCCAGCAAAAATACATAATAAATATATTTCTATTATACCCTGATATTATTTATATATCTCTATAAATAATTCTTCGAAGGTATTATTAGTGAACAGAAATTCGCCCATGTATCTGTTATCACTCGTCACGTCAGTCAGTTATATAGAGGTATGTCTCGTGTTTTCCTTTGGCGTTCGTCACTTCCGATTCATGAAACCGTTATTACTCAGCTATTGTAGCAATGATTTCTGTGTTAAAATTATATTTTGAACGTGTTTAATTAGTTCTATCACATATGTGATAATAACTGACACCAATATTGTCCTTTATAGATGCATTATGTAAGATTTAGATAGAAGAGCTCACAGTTTCAGCTAGAATAGTTCAAAAACAGATAATGAAAAAGGAATATGTTACAAATTTCAGTTAAATTACTTCACTCTGAGTGGAGTTACAAATGAAATGAAATGGGGTTTAACGTCCTACTGTTATGCTCCTATACTGGGCTAATGAAGACGGTCACTCTGAGTGGAGTTACAAATGAAATGAAATGAAATGGGGTTTAACATCCTACTGTTCTGCTCCAACTGGGCTAATGAAGACGGGCACACGCCATACAGTGTGCTATGAGGGACATTTTGCATGGGCAGTGGCACTATATGGCCTACTCTTATATCGAATTCCAACTGCCAAGCAATTATATGCATGCCAGTGTATACATGGAAACTCGGTTTGATATACTATCCGAACGACTACATAGCTGTTCTTGTCAGCCCCCCCCCCCCGCATCCTGCACCGGTGACGTGGGGAAATCACTTCAGAAAATCCTGATGAACTTTTTCGGCCAATCGAAGAGCGGACTTACAGTCATGTGCAGCACAGTGTAGTCTTGATTGTCAATGCTGCTATTGTTATGATACTAAACAAAGTCTTGATTATCCATTTTTAAATTACATCATTAACAGCCAATCGTATTCAAATCTGTTGAAAATCAAAACCATCCAAAGTTCTAGATAGTTATGGACCTGGCATGTAAATTGATGCCCAACGAAAGATCTGTATTAGGCAAATTTAGCCGTTACATAATACATTCTTAATGCATAATGGCTATCTGACTACACAAATGACAACACTAGGCCTTCAATATATCATAAATAAGTTCTGGCTATCCGACTACATATACAAGACAACTATATATAGGCCTTCACTATATTATAAATAAGTTCTGGCTATCTAACTACATACTACATAAAAAACACAACTAGGCCTTCACTATATTATAAATAAGTTCTGGCTATCTGACTACATACTACATAAAAAACACAACTAGGCCTTCACTATATTATAAATAAGTTCTGGCTATCTGACTAACTACACAATTAGGCCTTCAGGCCCTTCACTATATATAAGTTCCGGCTATCTGACTAACTACACAAATAGGCCTTCAGGCCCTTCACTATATATAAGTTCCGGCTATCTGACTACATACTACACAAACAACAAAAGTAGGCCTTCACTACATCATAAATATATTTAAAAGAGAGAGAAATAGTGTTTAAGGTACACTCGTTCCAGGGGTAATATATCGTTCCAGTTTTATTTCAATAATTAGTTTGCGAATTGGGATCTGATTGGCGTGTTCGGACTGGCTTTTTTGACTGGCTTTTTTGACTTACGTGTTCTTACTGACGTGTTCTGACTGGCATGTTTTGATTGGTGTGTTCTGACTGGCATGTTTTGATTGGTGTGTTCTGATTGGCATGTTTTGTTGTCTTTTCAGTGTAGAATTAAAGAAAAAGGATTTGAATTTAATTTCCTCCTTATTCATGAATTTGCTGCGTAGGAATAAAAAAATTATATTTTTGTGCATCTGAAAATTTCCATGGTCAATCGTAATTTATGGACAAGACAATGTCTAAAGTAATTCTCTGGTAGAAAGCGTTATTCTAAACAAATTCTAGTGAAAAGTTAGATTTTGTGGTGAATATTCATGATGTTGAAAGATTAAAGGGTATGAAATGAAATGAAATGGGGTTTAATGTCCTACTGTTCTGCTCCAACTGGGCTAATGAAGAAGGGCATAGGCCATACAGTGTGCTATGAGGGAAATTTTGCCCTGGCAGTGGCACTATGGCCTACTCTTATATCAAATTCCAACTGCCAGGGGACTTTTATGTGCCACTGTGTACACAGGACCTCGGTTTTTCGTCCCATCCGAATGACTAGACAGCTGTCCTTGCCAGACTAACATCATATAGTTAGCCTACATGTTGGTGTGACTCAAGACTGTGAAGTGAACCTCAAAATCGTTGCCACATATTGCTGTGGTAGAAAGCGTTCAACACATGGAAAATCTAGTGAAGAGTTAGAGCCAGGTAAAGCAACCAGAATAAAAAATTTCAAATTTTAATAAGAGAAACTTTGTTGGTTTGTGTCCTATAAGTATAAACCTTAAACAGAAAATCTCCTTGATCTTTGGGGTATATTCTATGTCCTTCTTTCCCCAGCATAACTTCAGTCTCCAATCGGCAAACCTCGGCAGATTCCGGTACCCTACATCTAACCTTGGCTGTATGATAGTAATTGATATGTACCTACGTCCATACATTTGCGATGCGGCTACCGGTTTACTTTAACAAAAAAGTCCCAAAATGGCGTCTTTTGTCGAGTGTATATAACTAAACGAGCAGAGATATTGTCTCAAGGCTGCTGGTTTGATAAAATTCCCTGGTAATTCCCCAAACCCAATGCCAAACTTGACGTTTGTTGATATAATACACTCTCCACAGAAATCTCCATGGGCGCAGCCATTTTTCATCCGGGACCTTTAAAATAGTTCCAATATGGCGGAATTCGTCATACAGCCGAGAGAAGATGCGTAGAATCTGTCGAGGTTTGCCGAGTGCCTCAGTCTCGTGCTTTATCCTACACAGAAAGCACATTAAGGGGAAATAACTAGTATTTTCACAAGAATTATCTCCCTTGACACATTATATTCCTCAATGCAAATGATAAGAAACAAGACTAGTTTTACAACATTGATCTATACTAAGAATTAAGATTAGCTCACTGACTAGATTATGTGCAGAATTATGTGAAATTTTTGTTAAAAAAGTGTAAAAGTGAAACTTAGTTGTTTTTTTTGTTTTTTAATAAATTGTAATAAATCAAACCTTTCTTTTTGCCTGAAGGTGGTTTTATAGCAGTTATAACTTTATCAGAAAAAGTCACAAGCTTTTTTTGCTTTAGTTTTTGTATTTTACATCCACACTTGCAAGCTGACAAAGTACAATACGTAATATTCATTTATTATTAACATAAAAAACATAAAATTTAAACTATGCATAATCTTGATATTAATCAAACTATAATACAGTATGCACAATCGTATTCATTGATTAAACATTTATTATGTAAGATTTAGATAAAGAACTAGCCATTCTTGCTATAATAGTTCGAAAGTAGATGATGTAAAATAAATAATTTGAAAATTTCATTCAAATTACTCTATTGCAAGCGAAGATATTAGCCTTTGAAGGTTTGACAGACGTGTGCAATAATTTCAACCACCGTACTGGTTGATCGAATCTAAGTCTCGGTCCTCCATATTTGATTAAATCAAAGTATCGCTGAACCATTCCAATCTATTTAATATCGGAGAAATCTGATGCCAAAGAGGGTTGATTAAGGCCTGGATCAGTTAATTAATGTCTAATTAATACTTTAGAAAACATTTCCGGCCTAAAGTAAGGCCTGCAATAGGCAGATTTAGCTCTTGCATAATGCATGTTTAATAAATAAAAACTTTAATGAAATTGTTTACTGATAAATATACAACACACTAATTCAATATTTGACCAGAATCTATATTTTGATTTTATTCGTTCGACAGTCTTTCTACTGTTTTTTATCAATATTTGACCAGAATCATATTTTGATTTGTTCTACTGTTTTTATCTATATTTCTATTGATATATTTTACATAAATTTCAAAACGGCATTTTAGGTATATTATTCCTTTAGCATTTTAGCCCAGAAATGCTCTAACTAGAGTTCCTCAGAGAGAGAGAGAAATGGGGTTTAACATCCACTCGACACAAACTAGGTCATTTCGGGACTAATGTGTGGTTTAATTTTATTTTAATACTTTGCTTGCGCGTAGAGGTCTTTAGCAGCGGGAGGAAACCGGAAGACCCGGAGAAAACCCACAAGGTTAGACAGGCGACCCTATTCCTTGTCACATACAACCGGGGAATCAAAACCATGCCAGTTGACTCAAAGATTGACCTTGTGATTCAACACGCACACGCTAACTATTCCGCCATCCAACCCCTCGGCCCGCATGAACTAGTGGTATAATACAGAAAGCTATTTACATATCTGTGGAGGTTTGAAACCGTCAGAATGTTCAGGTAGAGACAGGTACGAACCAGATCACTTTTGTCTAATTTTCCTCTGGGAACTGGAATCCATATAAACAAAATCAAAGATGTCTATATGTGTGTTCGCCCGTCACACTTCTTCGCTGCAAACCATCCCCACATGTTGTATCAAATTTCTTACCATGACCCCATGAATGTTGTAGGCCTTCAAATTCGGGACCACATGCGATTTGGGTATGGAGGTCGGGCGTATCCTGCCACGTCATCACGCTCCACCCCTACATATATATATGCGGTATCAAAATTACCAGCAAATTTACCAGGTATTAGACCATCATATTTAGGCCCCGGGCCATTTTGGACCTGTGTGAATTAGGGCAATGGATGAAGTCTGGTTTCCTGTGAGTCGTCAATATTTACATGGACCAATCAAATGAATATTTATAATTCCTACCTTTACTATGTACAATGGTGGATTTAAAATCATCTGTTTTTATTTTTTCAGCATCACTAACAGGTGTATTCAGATCATCTAGATATCCACCTGGAAAATATTGTATACAGAAAACGCTGTAACTTAAAAACACAATTCATGTAAAATATTCACGAACTCCGAGTCTACAGGGAAATCTCTTCTATGGAGCACGCTGTAACATGGGACACAATTCATGTAAAATATTGTAGAATTTGTGTTCAAAGTTTACACAAAGTTTTTTCTATGGAACGTGTAAATTATTGTATGATTTGTGTTTAAGAGAAAATGAGGTTTAACATCCATTCCATCGATGATCCACATATAATAAACACAATTCATCTAATTCGTATAATTTGTCTATATTTTTAAAAGAGAGAAAAAGAATTCGAGTTTAACACCCTATCAACACAAACTAGATAATTTCAGGACAAACTTTTATTTCAATACTATTTCAATACTACCACTTGACTTATGACCTTATGACCTAAAGTCTACACATGAGATAAATCGACCACCCAACATATTTGTTTTAAAAAATGATGCAACAAATGTTATGTTTAACACACTGCGCATTAGAAAATATCCGTAGAAGAGAGTTTCTGTAAGTAATCTGAACACAAAAGCGTAAAAAGGAACGGATTTTAACATCTTGTGAAAACACTACTATGGCAGCAGAAACATGTATATTTGTATGTAATACGTCAACTTGGAAAATCCTGACAATGCAGCAATTGGCAATAATTTCATTGTACAGCATAAAATTAATCGTATATTTTATTCAGAAATTTACTGAAATTACCCCTTTTTTTCTTCATAATTTCTTTAAATTTTTCATCAATTTGTTCAGCGGCGAGAGAATCGAGATCACTGTGATATTGTTCTCCTTCTTTCACTTGATCTAAACTTCGATTCTTTGTTGGTTTATCTACAAACAGATATAGAAATAAAACATGGTCTCATTCTTACAGCTTCAATTTGGGGACAAGGAGGCATAGATTACAGATTAAAACCATGCTATCTTAGAAGTATCTCAAAACACACAAGTATGTCTTTAACCCAGATGATGTTGGCGATAAAATTTCCTACTTCCATTTTCACCCTTTTACAGGTTAGTACTGGTGTTTCCTGCAAGTCTCCTGGAAGAAACTTGTCTACACTATATATCATGTTAGGTGGAAGGCAGTCGTAATCTACCAGGAGAAAAACAAGAATACACTGAAGAATAATCATTATTTTCTTAATTAAATCTTTGAACTCTTGTTCAATTTCCTTTTCTAACAGGTGCTCTGGTTCAAATGGTGAATTAAAATCAGAGTTATAAAAAAGTCAACCTACCCTTGCCATTTATAACAGCACCATTGTTTAAAGGAGTTGTTTGTTGTAAGTTAGTTTTATGTGTCGAGGTTGGTGGAACGATATCTTGTTTTACCACAATCTGGTTTGTATCTAAAGATGTTTTTTTGACAGGTGATGATTTACTCGACTAATATAAAGATAAATTATAATAATTTTATCATAATCATTGTTTGTAGTTGGTTTATTAATGTTTGTAGAATCCAAATAAACTTCAGTTATGAAAAGTAAACTATAAGCAGAGAAAGAGAGAGAGAGAAATGGGGTTTAACATCCACTCGACACAAACTAGGTCATTTCGGGACTAATATATGGTTCAATTTTATTTCAAAAATTTGCTTGCGCGGAGGGGTTTTTAGCAGTTGGAGGAAACCGGAGGACCGAGAGAAAACCCACGAGGTTGCACATGCGACCTATTCCTTGTCACAAACAACCGAGGAATCGAAACCGCAGCAATTGACTCAATGACAGACCTTATGATACAGTGCGCGCACGCTAACCATTCGGCCATCCAACCCCCGAACTATCGGGTGTACTAACTGGGATATTGAAGACAGGTATACATCATTTGAAGTTTTTCATTGCATATAATGGAGAATGAAAGTGTCCATGGCATGACAATGATAGAACCGACTTTGAAAATGCCGAAAATTATTTTTGGGGCCCCATGGGGAATAAAACATTAACCTAACAATGAATGCATAAAAAAAATCAGAATTGTAAATTATTGCCCGTCATCCTGCAGCATTGACAGGATATGATTTAACCATGTGTGTTTCGCCCCAATTTATTACACATTCATTCAATATCAAATCTTTGTTAGAAAATCCGTGAACATCATTTTAAATCAAGTACAAATTAGACGGATTTTGGGTGATTTCAAATGGTTTTTACGAAGTTATAATTGATTTCGATATTGAATGAATATGAGAGAAATAAGTGCTAGATACACAAGATTAAATGATACCCGGATTACAGTGTGTAATAATATTGCTAGAATTTTTGCTCTTGAAATAAGATGCCTTTATATTTCATTAATTAATATCTTTGGCAAGTAAGTAATTTCAAACATATTCACATATATAGTGTGCACTAAATCAACTTAGTCTGTAATTGTCAGTTGACACATAAAAAAGAGTTATTTATCGAAAACATATGTCACTCATTTACCACCAGAATTACATGTGAGTGGAATTATTCTAATTGCATCATTTGATTTAAAGTAACCAATCATTTTGTTAATTACACAAGTTCAGGGCCATGATCACGCTTTATGGTGCATGATATTCATTTACCTTTAAAAGAAACCGGGGAACCCTGTAAGTCAGACTTGCATTAGATTCCAGAGATCGAGAGTACATCTGAGTTCCTAGACAGCCGAGAGGCTGGATAGGGTGGAGAAGTGGTTTTAGCTATATAGTATTGTAATTTGTGCTATGCTTGTATACCTGTATTCAGTTATATGCTATATAAAATGTAGAAGCGAACTATGCATTATTATTCCTGGTATGAAAAACGTCTTAAGAAACTGGAAGAAGTAAATACACAACGTGAAGCAGAAGTAAAGACAGCTAGAGACAAATTCTAGACGATCACAAGGCTACAGAAATATGTAGTAAGAAAAGCTGCATGGGTTCTACGTAGGATGTGGCGACCGGTTTCCCATAGACGCTCTCCACGTCAGACAGAAAGACTCATGTGACTGTAATTAATATCTAGAGAAATATTCTGTTTAAACCCAGGACCTCCTTGCTAGTTAGCCAGCACCCTAATCATTGAGCCATCATAGGTCATCTTGGAACTAACATAGCAGTGGGAGGAAACCGGAGGACCTTCAGAAAACCCACGAGGTTAGACAGGCGACCCTACTCCTTGTCACGTACAACCGGGGAATCAAAACTATGCCAACTGACTCAATGGTAGACCTTATGATACAAATTGCATGCATTAACCATTCGGCCACCCCATCCCTGTGACTTACCTTAGATTGTGATGGTGAGACTATGTTCATGGCACCTAATTCAGCATCTATTCTATCTAATATAGCATTTACAGGATCAGTCTTCAACAGACGATTTGTAGCTAGAACTTTCTTCTCATCTGTACCCACATCACCATCACCATCAGAAATACCTGATAACAAGATAATAAAACGTGAACAGGGTCGGATACAGAAAGCATTATTATAGTATCCAATAAGTTACGTGTACCCAGTTATCTGTGGGCGGAACTACTATGACTATTGATAAACGCTGTCCTGGCAGTGGGCCTACTATGTCTATTGATAAATGCCATCCTGGCAGTGGGCCTACTATGTCGTTTGATAAACACTGTCCTGGCAGTGGGCCTACTATGTCTATTGATAAACACTGTCCTGGCAGTGGGCCTACTATGTCTATTGATAAATGCCATCCTGGCAGCGGGCCTACTATGTCGTTTGATAAACACTGTCCTGGCAGTGGGCCTACTATGTCTATTGATAAACACTGTCCTGGCAGTGGGCCTACTATGTCTATTGATAAATGCCATCCTGGCAGTGGGCCTACTATTTCTTTTGATAAACACTGTCCTGGCAGTGGGCCTACTATGTCTATTGATAAATGCTGTCCTGGCAGTGGACCTATTATGTCTATTGATAAACGCTGTCCTGATAGTGGGCCTACTATGCCTATTGATAAACTCTGCGGGCGGGCTTACTATGTCTATTGATAAACACTGTCCTGACAGTGGGTCTACTATATGTCTATTGATAAATGCTGTCCTGGCAATGGGCCTATTATGCCTATTGATAAACTCTGCGGGCGGGCCTACTATGTCTATTGATAAACACTGTCCTGACAGTGGGTCTACTATATGTCTATTGATAAATGTTGTCCTGGCAGTGGGCCTACTATGTCTATTGATAAAAGCTGTCCTGATAGTGGACCTACTTTGCCTATTGATAAACTCTGTGGGCGGGCCTACTATGTCTATTGATAAACCCAGTCCTGACAGAGAGAACGTCACTTAACATAAACTATATAATTTTGGGGCTAATATATTATATATTTTTATTTTAATGATTCATTAACGTAGGATTTCAGCAGTTGGGGGGGGGGGGGGGAACTAGAGGTTTAATAGATAATGCCTGGCATTGTGGAATACTTCGACAGTATGTCTAAAAAATGACTGTAAATAGTGGTTTCTAGAGTATCTCATTATGTTTCTAGCTTATACAGAAATCTGACGTCTGGCAATCTTAACAATTCATCAAAAATGACATAAATTCAAGATTATTAAAAAGATCTCCCAAACTCCTTCCCAGTCTGTTCCTGAAAGATTGTCATGGTTTGTGGACAACGCTTATGATGTTATAATAAATTACAGCATTTATTCACCTGTCGCAGAACCTTGATTTATAAGTTACGAAATCGACTCACCTGTAGCAGAACCTGACTTCAGAGCATCATCAGACCCGTCACTCCACTCGCCGTCTGCCTCCATCATACAACACCTCTAATTATCTCTAAATATACAAAACAAAGCAAATTTTCAAAACATACAATTTTCCTTGGAATTCACAGAGATTTAAACATTGGAATTCTATTATTAAATTGGTGTGGTTTCGAATCCCCGGGTGTACGTGACAAGGAGTAGGGATGCCTGTCCGACCTCCCGGGTGTACGTGACAAGGAGTAGGGATGCCTGTCCGACCTCCCGGGTGTACGTGACAAGGAGTAGGGATGCCTGTCCGACCTCGTGGGTTGTCTCCAGGTTTCCTCCTACTGCTAAAGACCCCAATCAGCGCAAGCGAATTATGTAAATAAAATTAAACCATATGTTAGTCCCGAAGTGACCTAGTTTGTGTTGAGTGGACGTTAAACCCCATTTCTCTCTCTCTCTCTCTCTCTCTCTCTATCTCTAGTATTAAATCTATGTGTGTTGTGCTTACTGTTTACTTCTATCTTGGGTGATATCACAGTGCGATCTGTTTAAATCTTTATATTACTTCAAGTTCAAACCATGTTATGACTCTGGCAAGCTTGGGACAATTGTGAAATATTGTGTAATTCATTTGTTTTACAACAAATATGTAATTTTTAAAACAAGTGAGTAAACCCAGATTTTGGGAAAGAAATGGATTTTAACGTCCACTCGACAAACTAGGTGATTTCGGGAATAACATAGGGTTTAATTTTAGAGGTTGGACAGGCAAAATATGGAATAAAGACAAACATTAATTAATATACAGAGAGAGCTAGAGCCAGGGAGAGAGAGAGTGAGAGAGAGAGAGAGAGAGAGATGGGTTTTAACATCAACTAGACACAAACAAGGTTATTTCGAGACTAACATATGGTTCAACTTTATTTCAATAATTCGCTTGCGCATAGAGATCTTTAGCAGTGTGAGGAAACCGGATGACCCAGAGAAAACCCACGCGGTTGGACAGACAACCCTACTCCTTGTCACGTAAAACCATGAAATCGAATACAAACCATCAAAGGGGCTTGGGATGAAGGCAAATCATTTCGGCACTAAACAACTATCTCTACATATATCAACATTGTACTGTGGTTGTCATTCTTTGCTTGAAAAAGACAGGAGAACCCTCGTCGAAACATCGGAAGAAATAAATCCTTCAAGTACCTTGTATTCCATATAATCGTGTCACGAGTTAATATGAGGTAGGCTCTTGCATGAAATGATTTAAACACTTCTTAATGGTCAATCCATTATAAAATAAGTCATAAACAATCAAATATTTAAATTACTTCAAGGAAATACGTCACTTTTATTTATACCTTCTTCAAATAGGAGATTTGTTATTTACGGTGTGGAAATAGAATTAGAAAACTTCTTATAACTACTTGAAAGAAATGGGATGTAACTACTGAGAGAAATGGGATTAAACTAGCACAGGTGTGTGAAGGTAACATACAGGAACCTGACAATACCTGTATGTGTATTTACCTATATAATAATAAGGTTTAAGTGTATACTTCAAGAGATTACCTGTCCCTTTGTATAATGATATTAAAATATCGATAGGTTTAAGATATAGGTGTGTGGAGGTTCATGTATATTCACCTATATCAGGTGTGTGGAGGTATTTAAAGTGGATATGAGTTATCTCCCTATATATATCTATACTTAACAACACAGTAACTAGTCAATAAACTTATCTATATCTGTACATAGATCAAATATATATACAATACCTAGATTTAACTATAATCCTGGTAGGAATTCACCATGTATTGTTATACGATGTTTTACAGAGAGACAGAGAAATGGGGTTTAACGTCCACTCGACACAAACTAGGTCATTTCGGGACTAACATATGGTTTAATTTGATTTACATAATTCGCTTGTGCGTAGGGGTCTTTAGCAGTGGGAGGAAACTGGAGGACCCGGGGGAAAACCCACGAGGTTGGACAGGCGACCCTCCTCCTTGTCACGTACAACCGGGGTATATGATGTTTTATAGTTAAAATATTGTCAATGATAATATTAAAACATCATAAATATAAAATATCTTATAAACATGAAATGAACTGTTAAAAAGTGAAATAAAGATATTATATGGATATACTACTAATGAATTTATTAACATGCTGCTTGATAACGATATCTGTATGTGTATTGAAACGTTGCATGTTAATAAATTCAGAAGTAGTATCCATATAATATTTTGTGAAATCTACTTCTATATTGTCTTATGGCCGGATTATGTTAAAAAGTGATTCATTATCTGACATACAGATCAGATTTAAAGTACAATCAACATAAACTAGGTAATTTCGGGACTAACATATTACCAAGTGGAAGGAAACTGGAAATCCCAGAGAAAACCCACGAGGTTTGGCAGGCGAATTGTTTAAACTGATTTATTATCTGGTTCATATTCTAAGACATCTTCACAATGTAAAGGCAGGGTAAAATATTACATTGACTGCATTAGATGTCTTTGATGTGAAGGCAGTGTAAAAATTCACTAAGTTTAATTGTAGATGATTATTATAGCATGTTCTAACCCCATACAAAGACGGGGAGGAGGGGGGGGGATGGCTGAATGGTTAGCGTGTGCACATTGTTTCATAAGGTCTGTCATTGAATCAACTCGTGTGGTTTCGATTCCCCGGTTATATGTGACAAGGGTCCCAAAATGACCTAGTTTGTGTCAAGTGGGCGTTAAACACTATTTCTATCTCTCCCCATACAAAGCCTGAGGTTGTTTTTTTTATACACAGACAGATTTTACCCAAACTTAACTACATAATATCTAGGTAAATCTCTCCATGATGTTTCTCCTGGATGTTGTTCTTAGATTGAGCTGGGATAATATTACTTTACTTCGTTACTTTACTTCGTCTTCAAGATCAGTAAATATCAAAGGTTACAACTGAATATTATCTGGAGATTGTTCTACTTTTATCTAAAGACGCTAAACCCCTCACTCAATATATTCCATAATATTAAAAACACGAATTACAATTCATTATTGGTCCATTTCAATCAATATTAAAGGAGCTAAGTCGCTAATATTTGGGACCTAGAAATTGACACAGATGGGTCGCAACGCATACAATAATGTAATATGAATGTATATACATGTAAATTGATTTACATTCAATCGTTTCTGTTTTTGCTGTAATTTCTAATCAGTTAGGTTCGGCGAAATACGCCAGTATTCTCAATCGAATTTCAATCTCTTGCGTCTGGTTATTCCAGTCTATGCTGATAGTATTTATTGGGCATGCTCTCCATATAAGAATATATCGTCACCATTTGACATGACTTGTGGAATATGCCTAACCTCGTTTTCCAGTCCCTTATTACAAATAGCGCTGAAACTCATTATGGTACACGAATGTTTATTTTGACTTAAATATTGGACATCAGAAGGCCATCTTTTCCCGGTAAGATCACAGCATCAATGTTGATTTAAATCGACAAATAAATCATGTTTTCAATGTCGAAGATTTTGGATGATATTGAGTTAGAGACTTAGCTACTTTAATGTTATAAATTTTACAGTTAAAATATGGGATTCAATATCCAATATTTAAGACAAAATATGAACATTTTAAAATCAGTAGACAAGACATGTGCGGGTGCGGGTGCCATTTATAATGGAACAAAAGAAAAACATATCTGACAGGACAATATGGAAGCAATGAGTAATAGCTAATTCACAACAACAAGAGAGAGAGAGAGAGAGAGAGAGAGAGAGAGAGATGGGGTTTAACGTCCACTCGACACAAACTAGGTCATTTCGGGACTAACATATGGTTTAATTTTATTTCAATAATTCTCTTGCGCGTAGGGGTCTTTGGCAGTGGGAGGAAACCGGAGGACCCAGAGAAAACCCACGAGGTTTATGAAAATACACATTCAAACAACATTTAAATATGGTCTACCACTTGCAGCATTTTCCCCTTGAACTAAAAATTCCCTTTTTCGTAGCTATAAAATACTCAACCATCTATTTCAAATAAAATTTCTATGCTCGATAACGACTTGTGAAATCTTGTTGAAAATTAAATTTGTATGCTTGAAAAATACTAGTGAAATCTTGGCGTGTGTATATAATAAGGCGATTGTTATCCATAGAACTGTGTTGTATTACTACGCCCGATGTAAACAAAGCATGTATGACGATCAAACAGTTTGTTTACCTATGGTATATTTTACTCTGAATTATTTTAAAAATACATTTCTATACGATGGTAAAAGAAGAATTTAGCATTGCTACTTTATAACAGTTTGATACTTGTCATTAATGTCATATACAAAATGAAATGGGGTTTAACTCCCTACTGTTTTGCTCTTATACTGGGCTAATGAAGACGGGCATACGCCATACAGTGTGCTATGATGGAAATTTTGCCTGGGCAGCGGCACTATCGCCTACTATTATATCGAATTCCAACTGCCAAGGGATCTTTTATGTGCATTTCAATGTATACACAGGACCTCGGTTTTTCATATCATCCGAAGGACTAGACAGCTGTCCTTGTCAGGCCCTCCGTCCTGCATCATTGACAAGGGGGAATCACGCCGGAAAATCTGGATGAACTTTCTCGGCCCATGGCTAGCGAGCCAGCGTACTACCCACTTAGCCACGTGGTCCCCATGTCATATACAAGTAGGAATGTAAAAGCAAAGGTCCCTTCCCCATAAAAACAAAGACCCTCTCCCTTACGATGAAGATAAGGCCTTATGATAAAGGTAATTCAGCTCATCCTTAAAGTAGCTAAGTCTCTAACTCAGTATCATCCAAAGTCTTACACATTGAAAACACGAATTATTTGTCCATTTAAAGGACAATATTGGTGCCAGCCATTATCACATATGTGATAGAACTGGTTAAACACGTTCCAAATATTATTTTATAACAGAGATCATTGCTACCATAGATGAGTAATCAATGTTTCAACAATAGGAAGTGACGAACGCAAAAGGAAAACACGAGTTATCCCTCTATATAACTGGCTGAAGTGACGGGTGATGACAGATACATGGGCGAATTTCTGCTCACTAAAAATTCCTTTGAAGACCAAAAGTTGTTATATGAGACTGTAAGAGTATATCTGACAATTCAAAACAGTAATTGAAAGTCATTAGATAAGAGAACACGAGAAAAATAGAAACAGTCCGTACATTCACAGGTGTTTATTCATTCTATACTTATAAAAACATGGTAATGCACAGACTTTTTCTATTTTTCTTTCATGTTCTCTTATCTAGTGACAGTCAATTTTGTTTATGAATTGTCAGATATCCTTTTACAGTCCCATACAACAACTTTTGGTCTTCAAAGGAATTTTTAGTGAGCAGAAATTCTCCCATGTATCTGTTATCACCCGTCACGTCAGTCAGTTAAATAGAGGGATAACTCGTGTTTTCCTTTTGCGTTTGTAACTTCCTATTGTTGAAACATTGATTACTAATCTATCGTAGCAATGACCTCGTTGTTAAAATTATATTTGGAACGTGTTTAACCAGTTCTATCACATATGTGTTAATGACTGGCACCAATATTGTCCTTTAAATCAAAAATGATATTGTGATGTTACCAGGAAAAGATGGGCTTCTGATATCCAATAATTGAGACAAAATTCGTGTACCAAGATGCGTTTCAGCGTCATTCGTAACAAGTAACCAGAAAGAACGAGGCTAGACATATTCCGCAACTCATGTCAAACAGTGACACCATATCTTATCTGGAGAGCATGCACAAAAGACTGGAATAACAAGATGCTAGAAATTGCCATTCGGTTGAGACTCAGGCCGTATTTCGCTGGACATGACCGATTTGAAATTAGAGTCAAAATGGAAACAATCAAATGTAAATCAGTTTATATACAATCAAATTACATTATTATATGCATTGCAACCCATTTGTGCCAATTTCTAGGTCCCAAATATTAGCGATGTAGCTCCTTTAAGATAAACAAATAGGCCCCCCACCTTATAATAAAGGTAAGGACCATCTCCGTTATAATATAGACTAAGGCCCCTCTCCCTCATGATCAAAACAAATATTCCTTCAGCTTACGATAAAAATTAGGCATGACAGAAACTGAGGTAATGGTATAACAAAAACTAAGGCATGACAAAAACTAAGATAAAAACTAAGGCATGATAAAAATTGAGGCATGACAAAAACTATTACTTCTTCAGCTTATGATGAAAACTGAGGCATGATAAAAATTGAGGCATGACAAAAACTATTACTTCTACAGCTTATGATGAAAACTGAGGCATAAGAAAAACCAAGGCATGTCAAAAACTAAGGCATAACAAAAAGCAGGAAAAAATAGTAAATGACAAAAACTAAAGCATAACAAAAATTAAGGCATGACAAAAACTAAGCTGCTTTTTCTATGGGATTTTATTCAAGCTGTTTCCGCTCACCTATGAAAAACACTCCTACATACTGTGAGATAAACATTGAAAAATATTATTATTATTATTATAATCCTCTGATAATCGATGGGTTTTCGACATTTCCACTTGAAAGATAAAAGATTGGCCTTGTGAACATGAGAATTGCTTGAGATGATGTCATACAGCTAATGAGCCAATTAAACATGGGTATTTTTATTGACTAGGTGAAAGTTTATTGAGATAAGTGAAAGGGTTTGGGGAGTAGAGAATAGAATTATCATAATATTTATAATCTGATTAAAACATTTAGTTTTTAGATTTAGGTCTGTATATAACACAAGTTCAACCAGAGAAAACAGAATCAAACCACAACAGTGTGACATCGTAGACAAAGATCTACAGAGAATATATTACACAGGTTTATTAACAAGAGAAAACACAGGAACATGTAAGTAAATTCATTTTACTTTCTTAAATGAAATATGGTTGGGTATTCTACTTTCTGATATGAAATATGGTTTAATATTTTACTTTCTGATATGAAATATGGTTTAATATTTCACTTTATGATTAATATTTCACTTTATGATATGAAATATGGTTTAATATTTTACTTTCTGATATGAAATATGGTTTTATATTTTACTTTATGATATGAAAGATGGTTTAATATTTTACTTTATGATATGAAATATGGTTTAATATTTTATTTTCTGATATGAAATATGGTTTAATATTTTACTTTCTTAAATGAAATATGGTTTAATATTTTACTTTCTGATATGAAATATGGTTTTATATTTTACTTTATGATATAAAATATGGTTTAATATTTTACTTTATGATATGAAATATGGTTTAATATTTTACTTTATGATATGAAATATGGTTTAATATTTTACTTTATGATATGAAATATGGTTTAATATTTCACTTTATGATATAAAATATGGTTTAATATTTTACTTTCTTAAATGAAAAATGGTTTAATATTTTACCTTCTTATATGAAATATGGTTTAATATTTTACTTTATGATATGAAATATGGTTTAATATTTTACTTTACGATATGAAATATGGTTTAATATTTTACTTTCTGATATGAAATATGGTTTAATATTTCACTTTATGATATGAAATATGGTTTAATATTTTACTTTATGATATGAAATATGGTTTAATATTTTACTTTCTGATATGAAATATGGTTTAATATTTCACTTTATGATATGAAATATGGTTTAATATTTTACTTTATGATATGAAATATGGTTTAATATTTTACTTTATGATATAAAATATGGTTTAATATTTTACTTTATGACATGAAATATGGTTTAATATTTTACTTTATGATATGAAATATGGTTTAATATTTTACTTTATGATATGAAATATGGTTTAATATTTTATTTTCTGATAAGAAATATGGTTTAATATTCTACTTTTTGATATGAAATATGGTTTAATATTTTACTTTATGATATGAAATATGGTTTAATATTTTACTTTATGATATGAAATATGGTTTAATATTTTACTTTATGATATGAAATATGGTTTAATATTTTATTTTCTGATATGGAATATGGTTTAATATTTTACTTTATGATATAAAATATGGTTTAATATTTTACTTTATGATATGAAATATGGTTTAATATTTTACTTTATGATATGAAATATGGTTTAATATTTTACTTTATGATATAAAATATGGTTTAATATTTTACTTTATGATATGAAATATGGTTTAATATTTTACTTTATGATATGAAATATGGTTTAATATTTTATTTTCTGATATGGAATATGGTTTAATATTTTATTTTCTGATATGGAATATGGTTTACTTTATGATATAAAATATGGTTTAATATTTTACTTTATGATATGAAATATGGTTTAATATTTTATTTTCTGATATGATTTTACTTTATGATATGAAATATGGTTTAATATTTTACTTTATGATATGAAATATGGTTTAATATTTTACTTTATGGTATGAAATATGGTTTAATATTTTACTTTATGATATAAAATATGGTTTAATATTTTACTTCTTTGCATCAACCTGACTAATGAAGGCAGGAAGAGAGAGAGAAGTCATTTTGAGACTAACATACGGTTCAATTTTTATTTCAATAATATGCTTGTGAGTTTTTAACAGTGAAAAGAAACTGGAGAACTTGGAGAAAACCAACAAAGTTGGACAAGCGGCCCTACTCCATTCATGTTCACAGCAGGATCAAAATCACAACATTTAACTCAATAACAGATCTCAATGATAGAAAATCAAATGTATTAGGTCACTCTAAACCAGCCAACCCAAAAATATATTAGACACTGCATGGTGGCATCTTTACCGGATACAATATATTAGACATTGCTTGCTGGTATCATTTTTACCAGATACAATAGCTTAGATACTTCCAATTGAAATGGCTTATTTGAATTAAAACTGAAAATCAAAGCAATAAAATTATCAATGGATTTATGTAAAATTTTAACCAATCTTGAAAACAGAACATTTCATATTTTTCAGGTTTCTCTGGATATTTAGTTTATTGGTATTTATGGTACAACAAGCAGCTGGTCTCCCAACACTGACCCCTGCAACATCAACACCACTGACCTCTGCAACATTAACACCACTGACCCCTTTAAAATCTACCATATTCATTCCTAAATTTAGACACAGTCTTGCTGGATGTCCAGCTCTCGTACCATGCGATTGTCTGAATCAAACCATAGACTGTGGATCCAGACGACTTGTCTTGGCACCTCAATTCCACCAACATGATCTACCATTCGACAAACTAAAACTCAACAACAATCATATAACTACAGTCACCAATCTGACCTTCAGAGGGTTAAAGGTCACAGAGATTAACCTCTCATTCAACAGAATCAGCACCATCGATGACGATGTGTTTAGTGGACTGGAAACAACTCTCCGAGTTCTTAATCTCGAGTTCAACCATCTTACTAGTCTTCCTAAAACTGTTTTTACTTTACAGAATATGGAAGAACTGGACATCAGTCATAACAGAATCCTCTCCGCTGATCAAGTGGATGGCCAGTTTCTTTTAATGAAGAAGTTTATGGCAAGTGGCAACCTGCTAACCCAGTGGCCAAATTGGCTGAATCGGTTACCATTTCTGGAAGAACTAGATCTGGGCTATAATCCTATTTCTACTTTTCCCGATAATTTGTCTGATCTACAATGGACACTTCACAGAGTCACCCTGGACAACTGTCAATTTCACAAAATTCCCCAACAGCTGAGCCAGTTGCACAGACTTGAATTTCTGGACTTCTCGTTTAACCCAATAGGAGACAAAGGAATCTGGTATGACTCCTTCCATGGACAATCTGGATCACTGAAGGAACTTTTGTTGCAAAGTGTCAACATAACAGCTGTACCCAAAGCCCTGGGTTCCCTCTCATCCCTAAACAAACTCGATATCTCGGATAATAATTTGGGTTTTATCAGAGAAGACATTCTTCCAGGACAACTAACAGAAGTGATCATGAAAAGCTGTGGACTTCATAGAATTCCTGCAACATTATCGGATCTGAAGAATCTGAAGAGTCTTGAATTAGCCAATAATCACATCCAGTCGATTGAGAATCATGATCTACAAGGATTGTCGAATCTGATAAACTTGGACTTAAGTTCCAACAACATGCAGCACGTCTCACCCCGGGCAGCTGTAAACCTGACCAGAATTCAGAACTTCTGGCTGTTTGACAACAAATTAACAGAACTTCCAGCAGTTGTCCAGGAATTCCAAACCCTAAAAGAGCTGAACCTGGAGGCCAATCCCTTACAATGTACCTGTAGGGATGGTTGGCCTGCCGTATGGATCACCCGACACCCTTCAGTCCAAGTTAAAGGCTACTGTGAAAATCTTGGTGGTTTGGATGCTCTGAAGTTCATCAGTAATTATAACCATTATTGTGCTGTGTAAGACCATGCAATGATCCCTACACCATAATGGCTAACCACCACTCAACAGAACAGAAATCTCTACATGTGCCAGACTTAACAGAACATAAATCTAACAGTTAATCTGATATGGATTCCATAAATATTTTTGAATTAAGACTTTTTATACATTATGTTTGTGATTAGATTGTTATGCCATGACAAAGAAGTTATGTGACATTACTGCTATTTGTGGAGTATTTGTTTGCTCTGTTTACCAGATTAAATGGGGTTCAAAATTTATTTACACAATAAAAATTTTGAATTCTTTATATCAATAAAAACAAAGTATGTGTCAAACTGTGTGAAATCAAACTTATCAGCCAAAATCAACATTATTTAATTTATGTGATGAAGCAAGTAAATTTTTATTAAATTACTTTCAACAAAAGATCTCTCATTTTAAACATGTATTCTAGTCTTAAATGATTGACACCTGTCAGTCAATCAACATGAGAGAGATAAGTACAAAAAATTATAGATGAAATCTGCAGCATTTCTATCTAGCTAGGCGATCTATGAGTGCACTGTCAAATCTGCACCTTGGAATATCGTGGGGTTTTTTTCACACCTGCAGGCACCATCTATATCAACACCCCCTCCCCCCCCTACCATTTATATATCTAACAATATAGAAAAAAGAGAGAAAAATGGGGTTTAAAGTCCACTCGACACAAACCAGGTCATTTCGGGACTAACACATGGTTCAATTTTATTTCAAAAATTCACATGCGTGTAGGGGTCTTTAGCAGTGGGAGGAAATCGGACGGAGGGCCTGGAAAAACCCCACGAGGTCGGACAGGCGACCCTACTCCTTGTCACATATAACCGGGGAATCAAAACTACACCACTTGATTCAATGACAGACCTTATGATACACGTGCACGCCCATACCATTCGGCCATCCAACACCCCATGGTTGTTAAGCTCAATTCTATTTCTAACATAAATATTATGGTATATACAATAATGTGTGGACTCAAGTATGTTCTAGAAACATGTCATACTGGTATGACACTCATCTACAACTCCTAGTTGCATTTATAATTGATTTGAGATTTCATTAAAGGAGAATTAGGTAAGATTAGATAAATAGTTGACAGTTCTTGCTATAATAGTTAAAAACCAGATAATGAAAACTACATATGCTGAAAATTTCAGTCAAATTGGTTCACTCTCAACCGAGATATTAGTTATTAAATATTAGGCTAGTCTCGGTCATCATTATTGATTTTGGTATGATAAAAAAGAAAGTTATGTTAAATTATTCATAACAAAATGTATTCAAATCCACTAAATAACACACACTAGCGATGGCATCGAGAGTTGATTATGGTCTGGATAAGTTAATTAATGTCTAATTAACAATTAAGATAGCATTTCAGGCCTAAAGGGGGACTTGTGATAGGCAGATTTAGCTCTTACATTACAATTTTTGTTGTATTTTATTCGAAGACTCACCTTTAGACAAAGATATACAGAAATATTTCCATAGCTTCCTCTATCCTTATTTGCCAGAAATTATTCCATCATTTCCTGGATCCGTATTAACCAGGAATTATTCCACAGTTTCAACTATCCTTATTTACAAGACCACACATCAGATGAGAAATCGAACTAAACTAATTGTAACAAACCTGTTAATAATTTGAGATTTAACAACCTGGTATCATATTTGTCTTTATTTCACCTATCAACTAATCAATCAATATCTCAAGTAATATTAATAGGTTGATTGTAAATTGATACTGTCGAGGATAATTGATCTTCTCTTTGATGTAACAAATACACAATGACCTATAATACATTGCTACTTAATACAACTTAATAATTATCTAGGAATTAGCTGCACATCGTGTTCAGTCATGTCCAGATTTCTGAGGCTTTGTTCTGAAGAATTACTAGAAATGAAATGTGGTTTAACGTCCTACTGTTCTGCTCCTAAACTGGGCTAATGAAGACGGGCATACGCCATACAGTGTGCTATGAGGGAAATTTTGCCCGGGCAGCGGCGCTACGGTCTACTCTTATATCGAATTCCAACTGCCAAGGGATCTTTCACATGCACGCCAATATGTACACGGACCTCGGTTTTTCGTTTCATCCGAACGACTAGACAGCTGTCCTTGTCAGGCCCTCTGTCCTGCATCACTGACAAGGGTAAACCATGCCGGAAAATCTGGATGAACTTTCTCGGCCAATGCAGGGATCGAACACCCGACCTCCAGGCTAGCGAGCCAGCATCTTACCCACTTAGCCATGTGATCCATAATGAGGGTTTTCGCCATGCAGTGTGCTATGGGGAACAGACAGCGATGCTATGACCTACTTTTATATCGAATTTTAACTGCCAAGTGTTATTTCACATGCACGTCAATGTTTACACGGGACCCCGTTTATTTCGTCCCCTACAAATAGCTACCACATTGTCCCTGACAATAGGCAAGCGTGTCAGAAAATCTTGATGTACTTTCTCGCCCAAGTTTAGGCTCAAACACAAGATCGTCAGGTTAGTGAGCCAATGTCTTACTCAATGAGCCACCATGGCTCCATGTAGAATTACAGGGTAACCAATGAGTTAATATGGGATGACCAATTACAGGGTAACCAATGGGTTAATATGGGACAACCAATTACAGGATAACCAATAGGTTAATATGAGATGACCAAAGGCTTGATATTTAAAACTGGGCTATCAATATTTTATAAACAATAAAGTGGGTTTACTTTGGTCATATTTTGAGACTAACATATGGTCATGTTTTGTTCCATGGTTAAATGAGATTCTTTTAGGAGTACACAAATATATATATGAGCAGACCTCAGACTTGCTACTAGGCATACATTCCTTGTTTAACGTCTACTTGACACAAACTAGGTCATTTCGGGACTAATATATGGTTCAATTTTATTTCAATTAGGGGTCTTTAGAAGTGGGAGGAAACTGGAGGACCCTGAGAAAACCCACGAGGTTGGACAGGTAACCCTACTCCTTGTCACGTACAACTGGTGAATCAAAACCACAGCAACTGACTTAATGACAGGTGTTATGATGCAACACACACGCTACACGCCCCCCCCCCCCCACCCACCCATGTCATATGGAGATTAACTTATGGTCATTATTAATAGGATACTACTAGTACTACACAGATGAGTAGACATGTTAAATGGGCAGATCGGTTAAATGGATGGACCTGTTAAATGGGTAGACCTGTTAAATAACCACACTATATTTATTCTCTCCGCCATTACATGTCAACACATGGTTTTATCCCTTCGATGTACAGAAGACCACTGCATGCTTTACCATGACAACTGAGTCTATGTCTGCACACATACACAACTCATTACTATTCATATATACAAAGGTCATGAATATTCATGTTATCAGACCTCATGTTTTTAACTAGGCATACTTTCCATGTTGGGACTGTATCACCACCCCTCGGGAGTGAAGGCCCAAGCTTGAAAAATCCTCCTGGTTTTACTCGGCCTAAGGAACTCTATTTGTACGAATATTGTCTTGTAAGAAAGGTGCTATAAATTAGATAGCATACCCTGGCTCTTACATGGCACATGTCACTACAGCGTTACATGTATGTAATAAATCTAGTAGCCTGGACATAAGGTACCTGTTCAGGCTTGTATATCCTGTAACACATCTATTTAAACTTCTTTTTAAAAAAGCATGACCTGCCTTGTACAATACACCTGTCATTATTTATAGCTAAGTCTACCAGTCAAGACGTAAACCTATATCTAAGTCTATATAGATTGATGATCTTCAGGTATTTTATCTATAATCTCCTGTATTAATCTACTGATCTATATAGTGACAGTATTAATCCTTTTATTGTTGGGGGGTTGGATGGCCGAATGGTTAGCACGTGTGTGTGCTGTATAACAAAGTCTGTCATTGAGTCAACTGGCGTGGTTGTACGTGACAAGGAGTAGGGTCACCTGTCCAACCTCATGGGTTTTTTCCAGATCCCCCAGTTTCCTCCCACTGTTAAAGACCCATACGTGCAAGCAAATCATTGAAATAAAATTAATCCATATGTTAGTCTTGAAATGACCTAGTTTGTGTTGAGTAGACATGAAACGCCATATATCTCTCTTTTTTCTATATTGTTAGATATATAAATGGTAGGGGGTTGTGTTGATCTAGATGATGCCTGCAGATGTGAAAAAAAACCCACGATATTCCAAGGTGCAGATTGACAGTGCACTCAAAGATCGCTTAGCTAGATAGAAATGTTGCAGATTTCATCTATAATTTTTCGTACTTATCAGTTGACATCAGAACGATGATTAATTTCTATCCATGAACATCAAAGCCAAGATGGTATTGAACCTATGTCTAAATTAATAAAATAAGTGTTGAATCTTTAAAATCTATAGGCTTTCTGCTTTATTACCAGTACAACCATCATTTGAACTTTTTATTTGCATAATATCATACCACTTGACCCCCTACCCCCCTTGTCTCTCTTAAATAATATTGACCACTCGACCCCCTCCCCCCGTCCCTTGAATCTCAGAGACAGCTGACCCACTGAGAATTAAACAATACTGACCATTCGACCCCCTTACCTCCTCCCTTGACTCTCTTACACTTATATCCCCCTGAGAAAGAAATAATAGTGACCACTCGACTACCCCCCACCTCGGCTTGACTGCCTGTTCCCCTGAGTATTAAACTGTACTGACCTTGTTTAGATGTCCTAGCGTAATATCACTAAAACTACGTCATCTTTCTCTTCTAAACAGTTTATCTGAAATCAGAACATGTTAGAAATAATAATGGGGCTAAACATCCACTCGACACAAACTAGGATATTTCGGGACTAACATATGGTTCAATTTTATTTCAATAATTCGCTTGTGCGTAAGGGTCTTTAGCAGTGGGAGGAAACCAGAGGACCTGGAGAAAACCCACGAGGTTGGACAGGCAATCCTACTCCTTGTCACGTACAACTGGGGAATTGAATCCACGCCAGTTGACTCAATGACAGACCTTATGATACAGCGCACACATGCTAACCATTCGGCCATCCAACTTCCCACACTGTTCTGCACTGCCTGGACTAATGAAGGGGGGCTGTAGACACAGAAAGTGAAATGAAGTGGGGTTTAACGTCCTACTGTTCTAATCCGACAGGGCTAATGAAGACGGGCATGGACCATACAGTGTGCTATGAGGGAAACTGCCAAGGATCTTTTACTTGCATACCAATGTGTACACGGGACCTCAGATTTCCACTCCATCCAACTGACCAAATGACTAGACGCCTGTCCTTGCCTGGCCCTGCAGCACAGACATGGTTGAACCACGCCAGAATATCCCCATGAACTTTCTCAGCCAACACAGAGAGCGAACCCGCAACCTCTAGGTTAGCAAGCCAACATCCTACTAACTGAGCCACTGTGGCTCCTTGTGGACAGAGCAAAAAGAATGCAATGTGTTAGTCTCAAAATGACCACTATATTGTATCAACGAGATGTGAAATCCTGTTCCTTTTTTTTAATTACAAATGTCTGACACTCCGCGACGTCGACGAAACTTGTACGTGAAGAAGCAAGATATTAAGACCATATGCAAAAAATAGGGTTTCTAACTTTACCCCAGCAAGGCAAGAATAGGGCATTGGGATCAATGTACCGACTACCCAGCCTTCTCTTTAGACCAGCTGACACCAGAATGTGTCTCCTACAATAACTTAAAATAAGTGATCTAACTACTTAGCCTGTTTATAGAAACATACACCCATAGACGGACAAATATTTTAATGTTAAATAAATAGTGTTTATATGAACTCTTGAAATCAATCAAACTAAAATATCGTTCAAGTTATGAATGGAGGCCATTATAGATATGATAATACAACTAACAAAAATAAAATCGTCTGTATTTAAAAAAAACTTCACAACAAATAATTAAATAGACACCAACGTTGAAAGCGTATTATATATTAATATTTTGTAGATTTTGTATATATGTTAACAATATACTACAGAAGGATATATTTAACAATAGACCTCAATAAGACACTTAACTGACTATTATATAAGATCTTTAACTCATTCAAACATTACAAAAGTTATTCATAAAATTTAACCTTGACAGTTTAAGTTATAATAAAATGTAGCACATATAACTCAGGAGATTATAGTTTAATCTGTGCATTATTTGAAATATTCCACATTAGGCTATTAACTGTGTAGGGGTGTTAGGCACGCTATATATGCTCGGGTGTAGTCCGTAGTCAGAGGCGGATCCAAGGGGGGGCGCAAGGGGCGCGCGCCCCCCCTAGTTTTTGACAGTGCCCTTTTTACTGCTGAAAGTGCCTTTTCTCAGACCCAAATATGTCCGTTCGGAACCCGTTGCAGGGATCCCAAATGACTCAAACCATCGACTCAAACACACCAGTTTGGTCTAATTAGTGCTTCCACTTCCAAACGAATTCTTGTTGTTTAGCTGACGTCACCCTAATCCTATAGGGTGACTATAGACAGACATTAATGATAGCATCTTGTGGAATCGGCGGCGTATACACTCATGCCCATCACTGACGCGCATGAGTGCAACTTGATGTAGCATTGTTTTATGTGTGGACAGTACACAGTACAAGTTACAAGGCTTACATAGTGAAGTGGCTAGGGAATAGATTCGTCTTTTTTCCCATCATAATGCCTCGCTTGCCTTGACAATTTTCGAGTCGCATGTTCAACTCGCTTTTTGCTTGATTTTAAGGCTCTTTTTCAACAATTTCCGAACCTTTACTTATGGCTACAGATGCAGGGAAATGACGGATAATTTTCGGCGTGCCCCGTCTCCGCGGTCAGGGCCCTCATTTTGCGGCGCCCCCCCTTTTCAAAATTCCTTGATCCGCCCCTGGTAGTGTACATTATATACATGTATGTAAGGGTAGGGGTGTAAGGTACATAATAAATATACCGTACATTATATATGGTGTAGGGTACATAAATTATGTAGGGTACATTATTTATGTAGGGGTGAAGGGTACATTATTTATGTAGGGGTGAAGGGTACATTATTTATGTAGGGGTTAAGAAGTGTCTAGGCAATAGGCATGCATTGTGGATTCAGGGTTCTGGGGAGGGTCAAGATGTGTCTAGTCAATAGGAATACCTTGAAGATGCATGGGGAGGGGGAGTTTGACAGTAGGCATACCTTGTAGATGTAGGGGGTGGGTTGGGGGAGGGTCGAGAATTGTTTAGACACTAGGCATGAATGGTAGATGCAGGGGGTGGGGGAGCTAGGGGGGCAGCTAGGGTAAAGAGGCTTTGTTCTTATAACATATTCATGTAGATCTATTTATTTATTCATGTTTTTATTACCCCGGTTGGAGCAGGTAGGATGTTTATTAAACCTAATTATTTAGTTCTCTATTCTAAAAAGAAACTTTTACCACATAAATAAGTTGCAAGCCATTTTTTACTAGCGAGGAATTCAAGTATTCGGGCTAGTATAATACAAATTGAAGAATCTAATATCAAACACTGATTGATAGATATGTCATTGTCAAGTCATCGATCAACCAGACCACCTGTAGCGTGCAGATAACTTCTTCCATCACAGATACACACAGACTTACAGGTGAATCCGGAAATATAATTAAATAAACTTACCTGTAAAATGCCGTTCAGTACATCCGTGTCACTGTGTATTTTCCTAATATATAAATAAAAAACCTTAGATTTCACCGAAATCCCGTGTATACATATATTATAGCTATATTGAACGAGTTTATGGCACTTGGCCAAACAAACTAATCATACAATACCATATTGACATTAGACTCAAGTGGGAGACACTTTACTATAGTCTTTATCATCCAGACCTCTATATTGTATGGTATTAAACACACTGAATACTTCACTCGGTTGATTTACATATAAAAAATAAAACCGAATCATCACAAATTAAATACAGGATAGAAAGAGTAACGGTAGTTTATTTTTTATTATTAAAAATTGAATTAAATTGCGTCGAAAATGAACAATTTTTATCTGAGAATATTAATGATGTCAATTATACATAAATACATGAAAATTATTTTACCATTACAAAAATGAGAATTTTTTTTTATGTTTTTTTAAGATTATTTTATTTTGTCGTGGACCTCAATTATAGATTGATAGATATTTACAGCTTTTTTATAGTACGTACAAGTTTACTGTAAACGTTTTATAGATGTTTACTTCACCCCAATTATAATCACCCTCGCCCCGGCCTCCCCATATCTGTTATATTATTTAAAAAATATAAGTAATATGAAATCCAAAACTTTATATTTTTTCTAGAAATATGGCCCAATAATAAACAAGAGGGACTTGACACGCGTGAAAGACTTGATAATCATTCTATTATTTTGATTGTCCCTCCTAATCCAGTCTTGTTAGGACATGTTCATCGTATTAACAAAGTCCAATCAGGCAAATATTGTTGATCAGTTATAAATGATATTGTCTATAAAAGAGTTATAGTGTAGAGGGAGACTATAAAATGATCGTCTATCAACAGCAATACGTATTTTACTGTTTATAGCATGTCCTTGTAATTTGTCAATAGCATAGCGACCAAACTGTATGAAATGGTAAAGTTCAAATAAATAAAGTGAAATGAAATGGGGTTTAACGTCCTACTGTTCTGCTCCTAAACTGGGCTAATGAAGACGGGCATACGCCATACAGTGTGCTATGAGGGAAATTGCCCGGGCAGCGGCACTATGGCCTATTCTTAGGCCTATATCGAATTCCAACTGCCAAGGGATCTTTTACGTGCACGCCAATGTGTACACGGGACCTCGGTTTTTCGTCCCATCCGAACGACCAGACAGCTGTCCTTGTCAGGCCCTCCGTCCTGCATCACTGACAAGGGGAAACCACGCAGGAAAATCAGGATGAACTTTCTCGGCCAATGCAGGGATCGAACGCCCGACACCCAGGATAGCAAGCCAGCGTCTTACCCACTTAGCCACCGTGATCCTCATATGTTATATAGTAACGCACATTCTACACATTATATCTAGAGATAGAGAGGGGAGAGGCGCATTCTACACATTATATCTAGAGATAGAGAGAGGGGGAGAGAGAGAGAGGGGAGAGAGAGAGAGAGGGGAGAGAGAGGGGGGAGAGAGAGAGGGGGAGAGAGAGAGAGAGGCGCATTCTACACATTATATCTAGAGAGAGGGAGAGAGAGGGGGGAGAGAGAGAGAGAGGGGAGAGAGAGATAGATAGAGGGGGAGAGAGAGAGAGAGAGGCGCATTCTACACATTATCCAAAACTTATATGATTTTATAAAAAAAAATGGAAAAAAGAAAAACGCTAGAGAAAGAGAGAGGGGGAGACAGAGAGAGAGAAAGAGGGAGAGGGAGACAGAGAGAGAAAGAGAGAGAGAGAGAAAGAGAGAGGGGAGAGAGAGAGAAAGAGAGAGAGGGAGACAGAGAGAGAAAGAGAGATGGGGTTTAACGTTCACTCGACACACTAGGTCATTTCCACGACTAACATAATAGTTTAATATTATTTTAATAATTCGTAGGGTCTTTAGCAGTGGGAGCAAACCGGACGACCCAGAGAAAACTCACAAGGTTTGACAGGCGACACTACATGCGGGGAATCGAAAGCATGCCACTTGGTTCAATGACACACCTTCTGACCCAACGCCCATGCGCTAACCATTCAGCCACAGTCATCCACATTGCAAACACGACTTATTGGTCAATTTAAATCAACATTGACGTTGTTATTTTACCGTAAAAAGATGGGTGTGCCAGAATGCTTTCGAGCGCCATTTAGAATGAAGCGACTCGATGAACGAGGCTAAACATACCCCACAGAAGAATATTACCGGTATAGACTGGAACAACCAGACGCCAAAGATTGCCATTCAATTTGGACTCTTCGCGCATTTCGCCGAACACAATTGATTGAATGTGCAGTCTTAGGGTCTTCCTCTTCGCCTGGGAGTGCGCGCAGCGAACGAGGCCGGCAGTGTTCAGTCCTGGCTACTGTCCTCCCGCTCGGTCGCCGCCCCCCCCCCCAGCTCGCCCCCGCTCTTCGATTGCTCGTCGTCTCTCTCCCTCTCTCGGGGGGGGGGGGGGGGGGCGCTCGTAAATCGGTTTACATACATTCATAATACATTATTATATGCATTGAGACCAATAGCCAAATAGTTCCTTTAAACAAACAGTTGTCATGTAAGATGCATTCACCTCATTGTCTTAATGCCTGACATCCACAATATTTTCGGAAAATGGGGATAACTTCGAAACGGAAGGTGGCGGAACGCTGATGGACGGAGAATGGTGTAAACGATAAGACGTCTTCTCTCATTGTCCCATTTCTTCACATCGAATGTTTAAAACTGTATTCTGCGTAGCGTTTACAAGGTTTTCAACGGAGGGAGGTTACAGAACGCTGATTATCGATAGGTTTTTCGGCTAAGGGGGCATAATCAAATTCGAAAAAAAATCTGTTAAAAACTATAGCCGGTATCGCGTTCTCAATGTTTTCGGAAAGGGCGGGTGGGGGGGGGGTAACGCCATGATATTTCGATTCCTAGATTTTTGTTTCGGAGTTTTCGGCACAGGATGAAAAATCGGAATTATTTTTTCTGGATTTTCGATACAGGAAGAAAACTCGGTATGGTCGCGTAACATTTGTGGAATATCAACCAGTTAACAAAACTAAACTGACTACAATAAATTAAAAGTAATAATGGAAATAGAAAAAAAATACAAATTCTATCTGCAATATTTAAGAAAAAAGTCATATAAATTAGCATTCATTTTACATGTGTAAATAGCCAATTTAACATGTGTAAATAGCCAATTTAACATGTGTAAGTAAGAAGTTACATGCGTAGATGTAAAATGAAATGAGATGAGGTTTAATGTCCTACTGTTCTACTGCTCCTAAACTGGGCGAATTACGACGGGCGTAGAAGTAAGCATATTATAAGTATACGCATTACTAGGTTATGCTAGGTACCCACTAGGCAACGATCGAAATCCTGGTTTTAATTATGGAGTAATCGTGGTGATCCTATCAGGTCTTGAGGTCAGTCGTAGCAATCGCGTTGATCGTATCGAAGCGTATCCGAACGTATCTGCTGGTACCTAATAGTGGACTCAATAGGGACAATTCTATCGTGACGTATCGCACGACAGTGAGAATCTAGCATTAGAAATTAGAATTATGACGGAAATTCCACTCCATAGTATGGCGTTTGTCCCTTTTCGTTAACCCAAATTAGAATTATGACGGAAATTCCACTCCATAGTATGGTGTTTGCCCGTCTTCGTTAACCCAGTTAGAGCAAAACAGTAGGACGTTAAACACCATTGCATTTCATTTTCGTTATTCAACTACCAGAAATTTTGTGACATGTTCTGTTGTGTTTCCATAAATCATGGAAAGTCAAAACATAATTATTTCTATGGCTTTTGCTCAATAGGTTGTCAACTCACTATTATACGATCATAGGTTATCTTTCTCACACTTAAAAATCTTCTCACCGGAAATAATAACACAATTACCTTCCAATTACTCCCCTTGTTTTGCTATTCCCCACCATGGAATAGCTATCTTCAAACGTTTGAATTTGAAGTTGAAAATGATATCTTTGCCCATTTCTCGACTGTCAATAGTTATAGGATTAATAGGATTATTCTTTAACAAGGTAGGACTGTTTATAGATACCATCTATTTTAGGGCTTTATTTTAATACATTTTAAAAATATAACTTACAAATATGAAATTGCAGCTTTAAGTAATATACTGAAACAACACGAGTAATTTTAGTCACGAGTTGTTTTAATATACTCTTCAAAAAAAGTAGGGGATATTCAGAAACAATACAAAACTGTGGAAATGAACTGCTGTGTTTATTAGAGGTAACCAGTGTATGTTAATAACAGGCCAATTGCCTACACGTGAACATAAACAGTACATATGGGTGGCTTATCTGACGGCCCCATTTCACTCGCAAAGAGATACACTGTCAAAAGTGAAAATGGACATTTTTGATTTTTGTCTTAATAATGAGTAATTGCTCCACCAATACTCAAACATTCAGCAATTCGTCGTGGCATGCTCCTAATCAACCGTCCAATCACGATTTGGTGCACTACTCTTGCAGTGTCACGGCCAATTATTGCAGCGCTGTCGGTTGACGTTGACGAACACGTCTCCCGATCATGTCCCAGGCATGCTCTATAGGGTAAAGGGATATGAACAATATGGTGATGCTGGATGTAGTCATTCACGACATGAGCGCTGTGGGCATGGGCATTATCACCTTGAAAGATGAAACGTTGACCTGCACGTTGAGTAAAGGGCAGAACTACCGGTGCCAGGATGTGGTCAAGGTAGTACACACCAGTGACCCTTCCTTAAACAATATGCAAGTCCGCTCTGCCAGTCATGGTGATCCCTCCCCACACCATCACAGACCCACGCCCGAATCTGTCATGCTGTCTGACATTAACGTTAGGATGACGCCCATTTACACGCCTCCAAACACGAGTACGCCTATCGGTGTAATCCAGAGTAAATCCGGACTCGTCTGAGAACATTACACGCGCCCATCGACGATTACCCCACTTTCTACGCTGCCTACACCATTATCGCCTGTTTGCCATGTGCTGGCGAGTTAATGGAGGCACAACACGCGGTCGCGCATGCAAATGGACTGCATGTAGCCGATTTCTAATCGTTTGGGGTGTAACTCGAATTCCTGTAA